CTAGCCAGCTGCCCAACCGAGAAAGAGATGTCGGGCCTCGTGTGAACTGCTGCGTACAAGAGGCTGCCCACCAAGGACTGAAATTGCTGCTGCTCTTCAGCTTCAACCCCTTCATCCTCTGCAGCCTTCACAAGCTTGAATTCTGCTGGCAGGGGAGTTGCAACCTTGCGCTCATTCTCAATCCCATACTTCTCCCCCAGCTCCTTGATGAACTTCTCCTGGTGCAGCTTCAACCACCTGTGATCTGGATCCCTCTCCACGTGCATCCCGAGGTAGTACTTTACCTCCCCAAGGTTCTTGCACTTGAAGTTTTCCATCAGTTGCTGCTGCACTTTCTGGATCTCCTTCATGCTGCTGCTGAAGAGAAGAATGTCGTCCACATAGACCAGAAACAGCACCAGCTTCTCCCCCTCACCCTTGAGAAAGAGGCTCTCATCACAGCTGCTGGTCCTGAATCCCATCTCCTCTAAAACAGCTGCCAACTTCTGGTACCAGCAGCGTGGCGCCTGCTTCAAGCCGTAGATGGACTTGTTGAGCTTGCACACCCTGCCCGTACCATCCTCATACCCAGGCGGCTGCGTCATGTACACATCCTCCTCTAAAATCCCATTCAGGAATGCCGTTGAAATATCCATCTGAATGATGAATTTCCCACTAACAGCTGCATCTGCCAACAAGACACGGAGGGTAGGGGGTTTGGCAGTGGGAGCAAAGATCTCGTTGAAGTCCTGCTTCTCCTTCTGCATAAACCCCTTCGCCACCAGCCTACTCTTGTAGATGGTGACCTGCCCCTTGTCATCGGTCTTGATCCTCAGCACCCACTTGCATTGTATCGCTTTCTTCCCATCAGGCAGCACCACCAGATCCCATGTCCTATTCTCCAGCAGACTCTGGTACTCAGCATCCCTAGAAGCCAGCCACTTGTCCCTATCTGGTCCAGCTAATGCCTCCTCCATGCTAGCTGGTTCCTCTGGTGCAGGGGCAAGAAAACAGTACGCAGGCTCATCCTCCTCATCCGGGTCATAGCCATGAGGTAGAATCAGCAATGCCTCTTCGGTCCCTAGCTGCTGCTCTGCTGCATCAGTTCCTGCAGTCAGCTTCTTAGTAGCCATACGGGTACGTCCTGGCCTGGAGATGGGTGTCTCCCATCCCTTCATAACGACACCCTTCGGCTTCTTAGTTTTTCCCTGCTGCTTCTCTCCTCCCTCGGGTCCAGCAGCTCCACTAGTGCTGCCGCCAGTTTCCACACCATTTTCTCCACCAGCAGATGCCTCCTGTACCTTCTCTCCATCACCATTTCCAGCAGCTGCCTCCTCTCCCTCCTCCCACACACTAGGAGTCAGGTCCAGCTGCATGGTGATCTGCTCCATCTGCTGGGACACCCTTGCCTCCGGCTGTTTCTCCCAGCTCCCATACATCATGCCCTCAATGAATTTCACATCCCTGCTGTCAAACAACACACCCTTGGATGGTTCCCACAGCAGCCATCCCTTGCTCTCAGCAGCCAGCCCCAAATGCACACACCAGATTGCACTCGCCCCCAACTTACTGCGGTAGGTCTTGGGGACGTGGGCGACTGCCATGCAACCGAACACCCTCAGCATGTCCACCGGCGGCTTCCTCCCAAGCCACCTCTCCAACGGCACCCACGAGTCATCCCCAACCTTGGTGAGCACCCTGTTCCTAGCGACAGTGGCGTGCCGGACAGCATGAGGCCACATAGAATTGCTCAGCCCAGATTCTATGAGCAGCGCCCTAGCTGTCTCCAGAATGGTCCGGTTTGCCCGTTCTGCTACACCATTGGACTGTGGGGTATAAGCCGTGGTCAGCTCTCTCTGGATGCCCTGCTTCTTGAGCCAGGCCGTCATTTCAGCTCCAAGGAACTCACCACCCCGGTCTGTCCTAATCCGCTTCACTACACACTCCGCCTGCTTCTCCACGAATGGCAGCCAATCGTCCCGTATCGTGGAGGCGGCGTGGTCCTTCTGCTTCAGCGGATACGCCCACATCAGCCTGCTCCAGTCATCCACAATTGTAAGAAAATACCGCTCCCCCTTGTGCCCTTGCACCGGCAGCGGCCCCACCAAGTCCATGTGGACCAGCTCCAAAGGCTTCTTGCTCCTGCCAGCCACACTATGGAAAGGGAAACAGGTGAACTTTGAAAGCAAACAGATTTCACAGTTGTCATCGGGTGGCTGTCCGTTCAGCTTCAGACCCTTAACGGCTCCATCCTTCTCCAGCTGCTTCAGCAAAGGCATTGCCACATGCCCTAAGCGCCGGTGTGCCGTTGCCCAATCTGTCTCCCCAGATCTGGCCGACACTTTCACACCAACCCCTCCAACGGCATTGCACTCCCCCTGGGATGCAGACCCCTCTCCAGCCTGCCCCCCACCATGCCACGCCAGGGCCGGCAGCTGCCACATAGATCTGTACACGTCCTTGCTCTCGTGCAGATCCCAAAGCACCCGATTGCCCAGCTTCCCCTTATAAGTGCGTGCCCCATCCGTGTTGGTGTTCACCCCAGCCTTGCCAAGCTTACGGAGGGAGATAAGGTTGGCCTTCAGGTCGGGGACGAAGAGAACGTCGTGCAGCACCACCGGCTTGCCATCCGCTCCCTTAAACGCAGCTCGTCCCGCACCAGCCACCTTCAACATGTGTCCAGAGGCGGAGCACACTTCATTGATCGGTGCAGCTCGTACTTCGTCCAGCAGGTCCTTGCGCGGCGTCATCGTCCAAGCAGCGCCTGTGTCCAACACCCAATAGTCTAGGGGGTGCAGCTCTGCTCCAACTTTGGCAGAGGCGTCTCCTTGCTCCCCCTTGTCTCCCACATGGAAGAATTGGCCCGCGGTGCGCTCCTTCTTCTTCTCCGCACCGCCGTTGCCCTTCGGGTTGTTGTCGGACGAATCAGCGACCATGTTGGCGCCGTTTTTCTGGTTCCTCCGCGCGCCGCCATCCTGGTGACGATTCTGGGGGGTCCATCCATCGGGTTTCTTATAGCACAAAAACCAGGGGTGCCCTTCCTTCTCACAATACCAGCAACTCCCTTTCATTTTGCCACCAGCACCCGACTTGCCCCCACGTCCAGATTTTGCACCGCGACCCCAACCGGTACCTCCTTGTTGGTCGTTGGAGTCGTCGTCTTTCTTTGCACCGCGTCCAGCACCACCGAAGCCACGTCCTCTGCCACGTCGGCTCCCTTGCATCCCGTAGCCGCTGCTGCCGTCGTCTCCACCCCTCAGTTGGCGGCGACGGAAGTCCTCCTCCAGAGTCTTCGTCCGCACCCACTCGAGCGTCCACAAGCTCTGGTTCTGCGGCAGGCTCAATCCGCTCGTAAATTGAAGCCACGATTCTGGCAGCAGCGAGAGCATCTTCAAGCACTTGGTCTGCTCCGGGTAGGTGATTCCCGCGGTCGCCAACTTCGCGTAGAGGTCGCGCATCTTGTCCAGGACTGGTTGCACCGGCTCTCCCTCGCTCAGGCGCAACGCGGACAGCTCCCTCTCCAGCATCAACGTTGCGACAACGGAGGTCGGGGCGTGCAGCTCCTTCAACACGGTCCACGCCTTCGGACCGCATTCAACCTCCGGCAGCAGGTGCATGACGTGGTGACGCTGGTTCAGCTCCAAACTCTGCGACATCAAATAGTAGCCAGCCGAGGAGCGCTCGTCCCAATCTTCCTGCAGCGTGGGGTCACTCGGTCTAGGCTCCTCCCCAATCATTAGTTTCAGCAAACCGATCTGACGGAAATATAATTGCATTTTCCAGGCCCAATCATCATAGCCCTCACCATTGAACTTCTTGACGGTGAAATTCTTCAGCACCTCCTTGACAAGCGAGCCCTGGTTTGTTCGCGCTCCCCTTGGCGCTGAAAGACCAGAATCTTGGCTGCCGCTACGATCTTGGGCTGAAGATTCACCAGCTCCCGCCGAGGTGTTGCCCGCCATAGCTACCTATAACGAGGATCACTATAACGCAGCTCTGATACCAGCTTGTTGGTGTAAGGGCCTAATAAACTCAAGCTATTAGGACTTAATCAAACTTAAAACCTCTCCTCGGGGTCACCTCCAAGGGTCCCTGGGTGCCTGGTACAAGACCAGCCCCTATCCTCGGGTCCGAGTTTGTAGAGAGAGGGATCAAGAAGGACTTAGTCAAAACAGCAAGAGTACCTTGAACGTCGCGCAGCGTGCCGTGCAGACCGTCGGTCGGATTAAGCTGAGAATTCGCTATATCGAAGCTCGCTCCAAGAGCTTTAAAATGAGCCAAGTTGCCTCGCGAAAAGTTCTGCCATTACTAAGTTATGGCTCGGACAGCGTTTGCCTAGCGTTGGAGTGCTAGCATACTAGCGTTGACTCGGGTAGCATTCCGCCGTCGAATAGCGCAGAAACGAAATTCCAGCGAGGAAGGAATTCGCTTGAATCAATTTGACTATGTTCAGGTACAAACAGAGAAGGATTAAATAGTTCTAGCTAGCAAGGACCTTGGGAATCAACCTGGGAACAACCAGGGATGATCCCAAATAATTCCAAGCAACAGAACCAACCTGGCTGGACAAAATAGCAGGTGGTAGGTTGGTAAACAACCTCTGGTTCTGTTTTTCCAACCTGGGAAAACAACAACCAGGTTCAGGTTCTAAAAACAGAACCTGTTTTGTCTTTGCCCAACCAGCCAAATGCTGGTTCCGCTGGTTTCCCCTGGCCTTGTAGCATGCAGATACAGACAAACAACATCCAACCTTCACCTAAATTGTACCCCTATAGTGCCTTCCCTGCTACACTATAGTTAACCAAACAAAACAGTACAATTTCGAGTTGGATAGAACTGAATCTGCGCAATCAACTCAACCGAACTGCAAAGCTTCCATCTTGGGTTCCTTTGCGAGCTCGTCCTTTCTGCTTGCACTGTTCATAGCGCGTACAATGTTGTGCCGAAGCGCACATTGCGCGAGTACCTGCAAATGCATCAAGCGAAAAATGCGAAAGCAAACAAACACACGAACACACCATTCACACGCAAATGCATTCGCACACGCATACTCGTACAAACAGACGGCAGGATGTCGTGCAATGTGCATTTGCACCCAACACCATGGCTTGCTGATGAGGAGTATCCCATTTGAAGGGCGTATCCTTTTTCAGTAGGTCGATTAGTGGCGCTGTTATCTTAGCGTATTGCGGCACGAACCTGTTGTAGTAGTTGGCGAAGCCTAGGAACTGCTGCAACTCCTTCACGTACCCTGGTACTTTCCACTTTTTAACGGCTTTGATCGTCCGAGGGTCCACTTGTATGCCTTCCGCACTCAACATGTGCCCGAGAAACTGCACCTTCTTCAGGGCGAAGTCGCTCTTTGACAGCTTCACGTAGAACTTATTTTTCTGCCGTATTTCGAGCACCCTCCCCAGATGCTCCACGCGCTCGTTGTTCTTGGAGTAGATGAGTATGTCGTCCAGGTACACCACTACGTACTCGCCCATCATGGGCCGTACGATATGGTTCATCTCCGCCTGGAACGTCGCTGGTGTGTTGCAGAGTCCGAACGGCATCACCAAATATCCGTAGAAGCCGTATCTGGTACGTAACGCCATCTTGTGGATCGAGTTGTCCGCCATTTTGCTTTGGCAGTAACCCGACCTTAGGTCCAGCTTCGAAAAGACTGTTGCACCATACAGTTGGTTCAGTAGGTCTGTTGTTTAGTGCGCGGTAGTCGATGCACATCCGTAAACTGCCGTCTGGTTTTGGAGTGAAGAGAACTGGTGCACCGTAGGGAGAGGTGGATGGGCGGATCAGTTGTCTGTCCAGTAAATATTCTTTCAATCCGTTTCTTCATGTTTCAGTTCTGTCAGAATCAATTGGTATGGTGCACGTAAGATGGGTTTCGCACCTGGTTCCTCCACGATCTTGTGCTCGTGGGTGCGCGCTGGAGGTACGCCTGCGGGGAGCTCGTCGGCCATTATATCCTTGTACTGCCCCTAGACCTCCTTCACTGCTGCAGGTAGCTCCGAACTCGGCTTCTCCTCCTCTTCTGGTGCCATAACCAGTGCTAAGTAACCCGTGTTACTCTCGTTCACCATCCGTTTGAACCGCGCCAGTGTTGATTCAGGAACATTCCCTGTATCTGTCCAGCTTCGCAGGTCCACCTGTTTTCCATTGTTGTAGATGCACGCTTTCCGATTGACCCGGTCAATCTCGTGTTTAAATTGCTTCAGGAAATCTCATCCCAAGGTGAAATCTAACCCTTTGATATTGGTGACTGGTAACTTCGGCTTCCACATCAACGCACATATATGCAGCTGCACTGATGTTTCACCGTGGACGGGAAGCTTCGTACCGTCCACCATCATTGCTGAGAATCCGGTCTCCTCCACATTTTCTCCAATTTTATCCAATTTGTCGCGGGTGCACACCGGGTGAGATGTTCCGCTGTCCACCAATGCCTGGAAGCGTTGTCCTTTGCATAATACCTTGAGAAGTAGTGGTTTCTGCTGCGCTTAGTAGCCAATGAAAGTCTCATTAATAGGATCATAGGGTACATCAAAGAAATCACCTTCCCTATTTTCTATACCTGACTCAGTACCTTTTACTTCCAACTTCACCTGGGGGTAGGAGGATTTTTCGGAGGCTTGTACAACTTCTCTTGAGCCTGGAGACATTGTCCTCTGAGCCTTTGCATCTGTGTAGACTTCACCTGTGGGCAATGGGGAGCCTTAACACTGTGCTGCGGGGAGAATAAATTAACTCGACGGAACGGACGACTCTTTTCTACGCTCCATAGGAATATGCTTAACTTGTCAGGTACCTGATTAATTTTTAAAGGCTTTTCTTGGCCTCTAATTCTCCCCTGAAAAATTCAAAGGCTTGAAAACCACGAGAAGTAATATTCTTACTTGTTAAAAGTATCTTTATAGGATAACTTTAACGAATTCTTACTTTCGTGGGTGTTCGGCTGGAGTTTCCCGGTCGGTGCAGAGTCTTTTTTTGTGGAGCCTCCATTCGCCTCGGCGATTTACCGTGTTTCCGGCCGGTCGTAATATTTTATATTCGTGCCATCATTTTCTCCCCTTTTCACCCGCTCCGAAGTCGCCTCGTCATCTCCCTTTTCGCTTTTCGGGTCTTTACGCAATCCCGAGCTCGATCGGCGGCTACTGGCGATTCCCGTTTTTTACTTTGGGGATGCTCAACTGTTGCCACCCAGCATTTCGTCACGTGCTTTTTTCTTTTTGTAGCGCGACAGAATCTGGTGTCCTGCTGCGCCGAAAAATTCGCACTTTGTCGGTCGTCGATTTCCATCGGTTCGGCAAACGTGGGAGGTGCCAATCGCTCCGTGCCGAATGATCGGTTCGGCACGTAACGTCAACGCGTCGTAGCATTCGGCTGCATGTACGAGGTCGCGGTAGTTACTGTAGTCCGCTGCAATAACCTATCGGCGAAACTCCTTTTTTAACCCTTCGGTGTACGCTTGGACTCCTTTGCCTTCAGTCAGGTCGCTTGGATTTTAACCCTTCGGTGGATTCTTCTGGTGCGTGTACTGTGCTACACTCCCGTACTGTTTATGTCGGTGTATCTGCTGCAGCGCCATGTACGTTGAATTTATAGGCTCGAATATTTCGATGAGGTCTGTCCGAAACTGCTCCCACGTTTTCTCCCCGCGGGCCACGTCAGTGTAGTAAATCCACTCGAGTGCTGGTCCTCGCAACAGTGTTGCTGCGAGCCGATTCCGTGCTGCATTGCATGTCGGGATCAAACAGCCAATGGCGTCGAAGTAAATTTCAAGGGTCGCCACAAATTGTCAAACGTCCGATCCCCCCTCACTTGGATCAAACGCTTCGGGGTGCCTCGGGCGAGCTGCTTTGAGGTTCGGCGAAGGTGGTGCCATCGCTCCGTCAAATGTCGGTATCGCTTCTGCTGCTGTTGCTGCTGTCGCTGCTGCGTTGACTGCTGCAATTATTGCTGCGGTGGCGGCTACCGGCTGGTTTGTCGGGAGAGCCTCGATTCGCCGGATCGCCGCCTGCGTCTGCTCCACATTAGTGCGAAGGCTGGCGATGTCGTGGGTGGTCGCGTAGTTGTCGCCATGCCCCTCCATTCCTGACATTGCACATCCGAAAAACCGAAAATGAGAGGGGGGTGAAAAACACGGAACCGGTTTTACGTACCTGCAATCAATGTTTAACAGTCGTCGCCCCCACAGTTTTTTTAAGACTCGGTTTTAGTGGTCGAAAGAACTTTGCATGTAAACAGGCTCTGATTACCAAGTGTGAGGATCAAGAATCGATCTCAGAAAAGAGAGTTTGAATTGAATGATCACCTGGGTACAACACGAGGCTATATATAGGCTCGACACAAGGCCTAGTAACCAGGTGTTACGCGAAGGTTCCGAGGGTTGCGAAACCAAAAGCCTAGAATTTGGTGTACGCAACCTAGCTCGGTGCTATAACTATAATAAAATATAGGAAAGCACCTAGCCTAGGAAATCAAGCAAAACCATGCATGAAAAATAAACCTAAGCTAGAAATAGCACAATCAAATTAAGTCAAGCAAGCATAGTTGGCATAAGCCGTCGTACTCTCACACTTACTGTTGTGTGCAAAATCACTACTGCGATCTGTTTGTATCAGTATGCTTGTGTCAATGTATTTACATGTTAATGGGCTGTACAGGTGTTTGTTTGCTTTCGCAGTTTTCATTTTATGCATTTGCAAATACTCGCACAATGTGCGCTTTGGCACAACATTGTACGTCTAATCAACAATGCAAGCAGAAAAGGCGGGCTCGCAAAGAATGGCAATGTTGTGCATTTGAATGCGCAGATTCGGCTATATCCAATTAAAAAAATGTGTTATTTTTTTTGTCAACTATAGTGTAGCAGTGCTGGCATTATAGCGGTACAATAAGGTGAAGGTTGGATGTTGATTGTCAGTATCTCGTGCTACAAGGCCAGAGCAAAATGTTGGTGTAAGGGCCTAATAAACTCAAGCTATTAGGACTTAATCAAACTTAATACCTCTCCGTGGGGTCACCTCCAAGGATCCAAGGGTGCCTGGTACAAGGCCAGCCCCTATCCTCGGGTCCGAGTTTGTAGAGAGAAGAACCAAGAATGACATAGCCAAATAAACGAGAGTACCTTGAACGTCGCGCAGCGTGCTGTGCAGACCGTCGATCGGATTAAGCTGAGAATTCGCTATATCAAAGCTCGCTTTAAAATGAGCCAAGTTGCCTCGCGAAAAGTTCTGCCATTACGAAGTATGGCTCGGACAGCGTTTCCCTAGCGTTGTAGTTCTAACGTACTAGCGTTGACTCGGGTAGCATTCCGCCGTCGAACCACATAGAAACAAAATTCCAGCAATGATGGAATCCACTTGAATCAATTGACTATATCCAGGTACAAACAGAGGACTAAATAGTTCTAGCTAGCAAGGACCTTGGGAATCAACCTGGGAACAACCAGGGATGATCCCAAATAATTCCAAGCAATAGAACCAACCTGGCTGGACAAAATAGCAAGTGGTAGGTTGGTAAACAACCTCTGGTTCTGTTTTTCCAACCTGGGAAAACAACAACCAGGTTCAGGTTCTAAAAACAGAACCTGTTTTGTCTTTGCCCAACCAGCCAAATGCTGGTTCTGCTGGTTTCCCCTAGCCTTGTAGCATGCAGATACAGACAAACAACATCCAACCTTCACCTATGTTGTACCCCTATAGTGCCTGCCCTGCTACTATAGTCAACCAAACAATACAGTTTCGAGTTGGATAGAACTGAATCTGCGCAATCAATTCAACCGAACTGCAAAGCTTCCATATTGGGTTCCTTTTCGAGGTCGTTCTTTCTGCTTGCACTGTTCATAGCGCGTATAATGTTGTGCCGAAGCGCACATCGCGCGAGTACCTGCAAATGCTTCAAGCAAAAAATGCGAAACCAAACAACGCACGAAGACACCATTCACACGCAAATGCATTCGCACACGCATACTCATACAAACAGACGGCAGGATGTCGTGCAATGTAAATTTGCACCCAACACACTCCCTCTCAGCCTGCCGGCTGCATTTCCATCATTCCATGCTAGTTCATGCTCATTCCACTCATGCGCACATAACGCCAATGAGGCTCATCCGCAAGCCTCTTGGTGAGGAAGTCTGCTGGCTGCTGGTGAGTCTTGATGTAGATCGGATTCACCGTCCCCCTCTTCACCTCCTTACGCAGCCAGTGCCACTTGATACGCTTGTACTTGTTCAGGCCATGAAGCACAGCGTTCTTGGCCATCCCAAGAGCCCCCTTGCTATCACAAAACAGCGGCGTAGCAACCTTCTGCTCCTGGCCAATCTCCTCTAACAGCCTCCTCAGCCAAATACCTCCTTTACCTCGTGGAACATCGCCATGTACTCTGATTCCACAGAGGAGAAGGCCGTCTCTGTCTGCTTCTTGGACCTCCAACTAACAGGTCCTCCCCCAACTACGCAGATGTATCCTCCCACAGATGAAGAATCTTCCTTCTCGGAAGCTTACGTAGCATCGGTAAAGCAAGTGAGAAAAACTTACCTTCTCCAAGCCTCTGCTTCTCCTCCTTCAGCACCTCAACCCCTTTCTGCTTCACTTGTGCAGATGCGGAGTATTGGACTCCAATGCTTGGGTTGTTGGGTGCAAATGCACATTGCACGACATCCTGCCGTCTGTTTGTACGAGTATGCGTGTGCGAATGCATTTGCGTGTGAATGGTGTGTTCGTGTGTTTGTTTGCTTTCGCATTTTTCGCTTGATGCATTTGCAGGTACTCGCGCAATGTGCGCTTCGGCACAACATTGTACGCGCTATGAACAGTGCAAGCAGAAAGGACGAGCTCGCAAAGGAACCCAAGATGGAAGCTTTGCAGTTCGGTTGAGTTGATTGCGCAGATTCAGTTCTATCCAACTCGAAATTGTACTGTTTTGTTTGGTTAACTATAGTGTAGCAGGGAAGGCACTATAGGAGTACAATTTAGGTGAAGGTTGGATGTTGTTTGTCTGTATCTGCATGCTACAAGGCCAGGGGAAACCAGCGGAACCAGCATTTGGCTGGTTGGGCAAAGACAAAAACAGGTTCTGTTTTTAGAACCTGAACCTGGTTGTTGTTTTCCCAGGTTGGAAAAACAGAACCAGAGGTTGTTTACCAACCTACCACCTGCTATTTTGTCCAGCCAGGTTGGTTCTGTTGCTTGGAATTATTTGGGATCATCCCTGGTTGTTCCCAGGTTGATTCCCAAGGTCCTTGCTAGCTAGAAGTATTTAATCCTTCTCTGTTTGTACCTGAATATAGTCAAATTGATTCAAGCGAATTCCTTCCTCGCTGGAATTTCGTTTCTGCGCTATTCGACGGCGGAATGCTACCCGAGTCAACGCTAGTATGCTAGCACTCCAACGCTAGGCAAACGCTGTCCGAGCCATAACTTAGTAATGGCAGAACTTTTCGCGAGGCAACTTGGCTCATTTTAAAGCTCTTGGAGCGAGCTTCGATATAGCGAATTCTCAGCTTAATCCGACCGACGGTCTGCACGGCACGCTGCGCGACGTTCAAGGTACTCTTGCTGTTTTGACTAAGTCCTTCTTGATCCCTCTCTCTACAAACTCGGACCCGAGGATAGGGGCTGGTCTTGTACCAGGCACCCAGGGACCCTTGGAGGTGACCCCGAGGAGAGGTTTTAAGTTTGATTAAGTCCTAATAGCTTGAGTTTATTAGGCCCTTACACCAACAACTCGGACCCGAGGATAGGGGCTGGTCTTGTACCAGGCACCCAGGGACCCTTGGAGGTGACCCCGAGGAGAGGTTTTAAGTTTGATTAAGTCCTAATAGCTTGAGTTTATTAGGCCCTTACACCAACAAGGGAGGTATCAGAGCCGCGTTATAGTGATCCTCGTTATAGGTAGCTATGGCGGGCAACACCTCGGCGGGAGCTGGTGAATCTTCAGCCCAAGATCGTAGCGGCAGCCAAGATTCTGGTCTTTCAGCGCCAAGGGGAGCGCGAACAAACCAGGGCTCGCTTGTCAAGGAGGTGCTGAAGAATTTCACCGTCGAGAAGTTCAATGGTGAGGGCTATGATGATTGGGCCTGGAAAATGCAATTATATTTCCGTCAGATCGGTTTGCTGAAACTAATGATTGGGGAGGAGCCTAGACCGAGTGACCCCACGCTGCAGGAAGATTGGGACGAGCGCTCCTCGGCTGGCTACTATTTGATGTCGCAGAGTTTGGAGCTGAACCAGCGTCACCACGTCATGCACCTGCTGCCGGAGGTTGAATGCGGTCCGAAGGCGTGGACCGTGTTGAAGGAGCTGCACGCCCCGACCTCCGTTGTCGCAACGTTGATGCTGGAGAGGGAGCTGTCCGCGTTGCGCCTGAGCGAGGGAGAGCCGGTGCAACCAGTCCTGGACAAGATGCGCGACCTCTACGCAAAGTTGGCGACCGCGGGGGAATCACTTACGGAGCAGGACCAAGTGCTTGAAGATGCTCTCGCTGCTGCCAGAATCGTGGCTTCAATTTACGAGCGGATTGAGCCTGCCGCAGAACCAGAGCTTGTGGACGCTCGAGTGGGTGCGGACGAAGATTCTGGAGGAGGACTTCCGTCGCCGCCAACTGAGGGGTGGGGACGACGGGCAGAAGCGGCTACGGAATGCAAGGGAACCGACGTGGCAGAGGACGTGGCTTCGGTGGTGCTGGGCGCGGTGCAAAGAAGGACGACGACTCCAACGACCAACAAGGAGGGGTACGGTTGGGGTCGCGGTGCGAAATCTGGACGGGGGGGGGCAAATCGGGTGCTGGTGGCAAAATGAAAGGGAGTTGCTGGTATTGTGAGAAGGAAGGGCACCCCTGGTTTTTGTGCTATAAGAAACCCGATGGATGGACCCCCCAGAATCGTCACCAGGATGGCGGCGCGCGAGGAACGGAGGCACCAGAAAAAACGGCGCCAACATGGTCGCTGATTCGTCCGACAACAACCCGAAGGGCAACGGCGGTGCGGAGAAGAAAGAAGAAGAAGGAGCGCACCGCGGGCCAATTCTTCCATGTGGGAGACAAGGGGGAGCAAGGAGACGCCTCTGCCAAAGTTGGAGCAGAGCTGCACCCTATAGACTATTGGGTGTTGGACACAGGCGCTGCTTGGACGATGACGCCGCGCAAGGACCTGCTGGACGAAGTACGAGCTGCACCGATCAATGAAGTGTGCTCCGCCTCTGGACACATGTTGAAGGTGGCTGGTGCGGGACGAGCTGCGTTTAAGGGAGCGGATGGCAAGCCGGTGGTGCTGCACGACGTTCTCTTCGTCCCCGACCTGAAGGCCAACCTTATCTCCCTCCGTAAGCTTGGCAAGGCTGGGGTGAACACCAACACGGATGGGGCACGCACTTATAAGGGGAAGCTGGGCAATCGGGTGCTTTGGGATCTGCACGAGAGCAAGGACGTGTACAGATCTATGTGGCAGCTGCCGGCCCTGGCGTGGCATGGTGGGGGGCAGGCTGGAGAGGGGTCTGCATCCCAGGGGGAGTGCAATGCCGTTGGAGGGGTTGGTGTGAAAGTGTCGGCCAGATTGGGGAGA